GTACCAAATTTGAACAAAATCCCTCCATGCATAACTGAGATCCGGGTCCGGAATGATGAAAATGTGCGATTTTGATGCATTTTCGGCTTAAAATGGCCGCTATCGGCTATCGTTAATCGGATCATGAAAAAAATGCATGTGCATATGTCCCATATAATGTGTGATGTATGAGTGAAGATTGAACTTAATCGGTCCATGCATGTTCAAGATACAGGTGATCACGGACGGACGGACGCACGGACGGACGCACGCACACAGGGCAAAACATAAGTCCCCGTTTTCGGACTGCGTCCGAACGGGGACTAACAAGCAGCCTGACTGTCAAAACAGCTTGGTTGTTTCAGCAGAGAAAGTTTACCTTTCAAGTTTTCAAGTTAGTCACAATAAACATCATAGTCTTGAATAGGCATCAGTGACTATGAAAAACATAAAATGGACTCTAATGTAGGTGCAGAGAAAGATTGAAATGTTCAAAAAATGACGCTTATTGAAAATAGAGTCTAATTTAGGTATTTACGGTATGTATATGTTCAAGCAGTACCTAGACAGCTGGAAGATCAATTTTGACAAGGTCACATGTTGAACACATTGTGGATAAATTTACTACTGACAGAACTAGAATACCTACTTTGTTGGTATACTCTGATTCCTTGCAGCATAACCTTTTTCAATTTGTTGTCTGATATCGCTGGGTAAGGCTGCTAAAACACTGGGATCAACCTGAGAAATAAGAATGCAGAAACACATGTCTGATAGTCCTTGCAAAGAAATATTTCACAACCAGACACATCGTTTTATCGCCAATGTTTATTTTATTTTTTTTCAAGTTTTAACAACTTCATTTGTAACCAATGGAGATGTTACCTGTGATGGTGATGGCAAGAACAAATCTCCATCACTGGTTGGCATGGCAACAGAGCCAACAGTCTCTGCTTTGGCAGTTGCACCATTTTGAAACATGTCTCTGATGCCTTTCTTTCCGCACTGTTTCACAGGAGTAACAAAGACCTCATCATTTTTGTCGTTCACCTTCGATCGGTCAGAAGCACCATTAATTTTAGATGTTGACGGCTTTGGTTGGTTCTTCATATAGTCCAAGACTGACATACCAGAGGATGCAGAGGCAGCACTGCTAAGTTTATTGATTTGAATTCCCATCTACCCAACAAAACAGAAGACAGGATACTCAACAAATATGGCGTATAATTTTTTCATCAAAATGACTGTTGAAATTCACATTCACCAATCCAGCAATGTGACATTATCATAAATTCTAATTAATATTAAAGCAGGGGAGTCGTCACCTGCACATACGTGAGATGACCTTAGCGTGTCATTGTTTACAAACAAGCGTCTATCCATGAGCCTTTGCGTTTTTAGCGTGTGTTGTTACCGTCGCTTTGGACTCAATTCCTGCGCATGCGAAGGTGACGACCCTCCCACTTTAACATCATCTAATAGCAAGCTGCCCATTTGGAAGACAATTCCTACGTGACTTTAACAATATGCATGCATTTACAGATGTAGGCAATGTTGAGATTTTGAGCCAATCATTTAAGCCAATCATGAGAATCTGCACTTACAAATCGTTAAAATACGTTTACAAACTAAGGTACAGTTTTCTGACATTCACTGTACTGTATTTGTCCTATTAGAATCACATCTTCACTAGAAAAGCATAAAAATCAAAAAATACATTTATTGTATACACACAATAATTAATTAAAATACAACTCATTTACATATTAAAGTGCATAGGCTACTAATAGAACAAGTATATATAAGGCCCTCAATTCGAAAATTGAAACGGTCGGTTGGATTTTTTTTTTTGCATAGAAACACAGATCAATCTAAGGTTCGAAGTCACCAATCATCCCCCCGGGGACCCTGAGGATCAAACAACGGTCTGGGATCGTTAATTTTTAGAGGAAACACTTTTTTACTGCTTAAAATGGTGAGTTTTCAATATTTGGGCCTATTAAAAAAAAAAAAAAAAGAAAGAAAAAACAAGCAGCCTATCGGCTGAGATAGCTCCGCTGTTAGCAATGCACATTTCAATTAAAGAACTGAAGACATCATTAGAAAATGAACAATATGAATAGTATCAAAGCAATCGGACTTACAGTTTTTAACAAGAAGTCGAAAATGTCACTTTTTACCAAAAATTACAAAAATATTCACCAAAATAAATTAATTAGAGAATTGAAGATATCATCACAAAACGAACAAATCTGAGAGAGGTCCACATGTAGTACCTATATATGTAATATCAAAGCAATCGGACTTACAGTTTTCAACAAGAAGTCGAAAATATCACTTTTTACCAAAAATGACAAAAATATTCACCAAAATTAGAGAATTGAAGATATCATCACAAAATGAACAAATCTGAGAAAGGTCCACATGTAGT